AGAAGAAGAAGAAGAAGAAGAAGAAGAAGAAGAAGAAGAAGAAGAAGCCATCTTTAACGAGTCTACAAAGTTGATTAAGAAAGGAAGGAGAAAGAGAGGAAGGAAAAAGGACATAAGACTTAAAAAAACATCCAAGAAAGAGAAAAATAAGATGCAAAATCAATACAATGTTAGAAAGCAAAAGAAAAGAGAAATACAACAGAGAGGGGAAGCTAAGGGGGGTAAAAAGACCAGATGGGATAAGATAGGAAGGAAGAAGGGGGGGAAAAGCCACAAAGGTATGAAACATGATGTGAAAAAGAAATATTTTTTTAGGGATAATGGGTAATGCATAACTTTGTTTCAAAATGTTTCTGCAAGGTACATAAGATAGTATTGTAGTATTTGTATTAGAAATAGAAAATTAGAATTTTATAAGACTTAAGTAAAGATTAAAACATTAAAGGTTTAATAATGATAGATTTTAAGATTTAATAAAATATTAAAAGGAATGTTTAAAATATTTAGTTTAAGTATAGAGTTTAATTGACTATTGTGTGGATGTTTGTATGAACTTATTATTATGGTATTTGTTTTTGCAATAGATAATTGGAATGTTATGAGATTTAATGTTTAATTATATATTTAATTACTTTATGGATTTACTATTTTAGTAAGTAGAATGTACTAAGCAGAATTAGATAGGAAACTAGGTGTTACCTTAAATGTTAATTTAGGGGAGCGATGGAAAGGCATCATACTTCGATTAGTGATTTCAGGAGAAATCTTTTTTTTAAAATATGAATGAGATAAATGGATAATTGGAAAAGAATGGACAAAAGATACAAATATAATGATTTAAATTAAGATGAAATAAATAAAATAGAATTAAGAAGAGTGGAAAGCGGGGAGAAGTTATAATGAAGATATAGAAGGGTAAATAAGATAGGAAATGGCATATAAGTTGAACATGAATTTAATTGAAGTCCATACAAAGAGAGGTAATCCGGGGCCAAGGTACTTTTTAAAAAGAAGTTTTATGTTTTTGTGTTTTGTGTGTGTATGTTTGATTGAGATTTAATAAAACCTTGGGAGAAAGCGAGAAGAATAATTGTAAACAAGGCAGAGGGAAATATGAATATGATAAGTATAAAATGGATAAATATAGAAGAAATATAATTGAATAAGAGCAAAGAGAAATAATGAGAAAAAATATTTAAGTGGAAATGGGATATATTAGAAGTATATTGTATAAAACAATGTTTTATCTGCCTTGTAAAAATTTATAATGGAAAGAGGTTTAATGTCTTTAATGTCTAATGATGTTTTGTTTGTCTTTAAAATTAATAAAATTTGTTTCAAAAAAAATAATAATAATAGAGCAGGGTTATCCAACCTTGGCAACTTTTAAGACTTGTGGACTGGGGAATTCTGAGAGTTGAAATCTAAAAGTTGTCAGGGTTCGACACCCCTGTAATAGAGAAAATAATAAAATGTTTAAAATAATGTATTTAAAAAACATGTGAATATCAAGGCTATACAAGACCATGCAATAAAAATAGCCTGAAAAACGCCAAGAATAAGAAACCTGCAAGTGAAGTGTCAGACTATGATGTGGCAAATGTTCCACTAACAACCAAGATAGAAATCCAATAATATGAATGTTTGCTGCTAATGAGTTCCGGGAGTCTGTCCTGCAAAGAAGCTACTCTTCTCTGTTCTATGCATGTGCCATTTGATAGACCTGTTTCCTTATGCCAATCTGTTTCATTAAAGGCCTGCAGGCTCCATCTACTGGCGCTAGAATTAATGTCACATTTCTTATCCAACTACACTGGCCTCAGAGCCCTCCCATAGCACAATATGCTGTATAATCTTGCATAGGATCATGACTTGTCTGGAAATATGGCCTGGCTTGTAAGGGACTTGGTCTTTGGCCATATGGAGTATTGCTATCCAGTCATCTCTGTTTGTTGCCAAACCTGAAGTTCTTATTTGTTAGTTATAATCAGTTTGGGTTGTTGTTTTTTCTTTGCTGAATCCTTGTTGCTGGTGCAGGGTTTAAACTCTTAATGTGGATGATAAATTGGATGGGTCAACATGTCTGAAATGTATTCGTGCAAAAAGCCAGGTTTACACACCATAAGTCATAAATCATGAATTACAACTGTCAGTAATTACAGCAAATTCATGAGTTGTGGTAAGCCACTAAAATAGAAATTAGAACCACAAGATCTGGACTACAAGAATCAAATTAACTGCTAGAGGCCCACAAAGAGTTAACAATATTTCTCGAGCACATACATAGTTTGATGTGATGCACCCATCTCAGCTGCAAAATTATGGCTCCAAAGATTTCTCTCTCTGCTAGTAAAAATATTTCTGCTTGGAGAAGAGCTACTTTGTACATCAGGATTTTTTAATGGTCCACTGGCATTCAGTTTCTATAGCCTCAGTGTAGAAATTTTCAACTTTGTAATTACTTTTCAAATGTACAACACAAATTACTTTTCTCCTCCTGCCTGATCACAGGACTCTGGGCCTGCATTTGAGATCCAGAGCAAGCAGAGGTGGTATTCAGCAGGTTCTGACCATTTCTGGAGAACCGGTAGCAGAAATTTTGAGTAGTTTGGAAAACCGGCAAATCCCACCTCTAACAGGAGATTTTACAGAATCCTTCCCCTGCCATGCCCACCAAGCCACGCCCACAAAACCGGCAGTAAAAAAAATTGAATCCCACCACTGAGAGCAATTAATGGTAAACTGTAACCACTTTGAGATACATTTCCTGGAAAAGATCCTAGTTCTGGGTTACAATAATAATATTGCAGACTAGTTTGGGAAGAGCTGGAGACAGCCGTAAATAAGTATTTCTCTCTTCGAGGCTGGGCATAGAAATCTTCCAGAAAACGGGGAAGCAGCCCAAGACGCTTCCTGAAAGTCGGAGGCGGGAACCTATCTGAAGGCGGGAAACGAAGACAACGCAATCGCGACCGCGTTTCTAGAAGTCGCTGCGTGGGAAAAGCCCCCTCCGCAGAGACAGGGATGAAGGGAAGGGAGGCGTAGCTTTGCCCAGTCGACGGTGGGCCGATTTGAAGCCCGACCGCCCGGTTTTCCGACAGGTTCGCGGCAGCGCCTTCCTCCTCTGATCTCACCTGTACACCGTCAGCACTGTCTTGTTTACCAGAACGATCAAGAAAGAGCAGGTCCCATAGAAAAGGGCGGAGAGCAGCTTGGGCAGCGGTGGGGACGGGGCAGGGGGAGATGCAACCGGCTCTTGGTCCGGCTTCTTGGCGGCTTTCATCGTTTCGCACCTGTGCAACAGGTATCCCTCTGCCGGACATCCCCGCCGGCCAGGCAAAGGGCGACTTCAGCCCTTCCTCGCTAAAGGAAACGAGGCCGAACAGGAAGAAGCTGGCACCCGGTTTACCTGTCCCCACCCTCTTTCTTCCGTTAAAACGCCTCGGAGCCGAGCGGCCGCGGGGAAACTTCGGCCGCGCCCTGGAGCAAGCCGCGTTTCTTGGGCGACTTTTGTGGAGCTGAGGGGATTTGCGCTGCTCTGGCTTTCTGGCCCGGTTTTGAGCATGGAGGACAAGAGGGAGCGTTAAGTCGTCATAATAGCCTGCCCCGAGACCAGTCCTTTTTCAGCCCGGTGTCCCCCAGCTCCGCTGCCGCTGAGAAAACTGGAAGTTGTGGTCTCACTACACGCGGAAGACTGGGAAAAACTGGGAAAGGTTGAGCTAGCCAAAATCAGGTCATTTTCTCTTTCAGAAGCAGCGTTTCTCTCCGTTCTATCAGAGACACTAGTGACTTGAAAGGATTCTTGCATGGGTGCTGTGTCTGCCACCTTAAAAAGATGGTTGAGAGTTCGGGTCACCCTTCTTTTGTTAAGTGATCTAGAACTGGGGGGAAGCAAATTGCTCCGGGGGTTGTTAGCAGCGGTCTCTTATGGAAAAACAAACAAAAACTTTTTTTGTTTCACCATGTACCACATTCCAGTAAATTGTTTGAAAAAAGGCAAATAAAAGCATTTTTTTTTTTTGCCAGAGCAACCTCATTATTAGTTTTTAGTCAGGTGACTAGAAGTGCAGCTCTCCAGAAAGTTTTTTTTAAATGTACATTTCCTATCTTTTAATACGTAAAGCAATGTTTTTCTTTCCCACAGCAAAAGTGAAATTAGCACAACAAAATAAGGGAAGGCCATCTTATTACCAGCTACTGCTGCTAGGAAAGGTCATGATTGCACCTCCATCATCTTAGCATTTGTTAGAAATGTCAGAATGTTTTTTTCACATCAGACACCCCATTGGTTCCACAGTTCAAATTTGTTGCTCCTTCTCCACCTCAGTTGGATCACTGCCACAGTAATTCCTGTTTATTTTCCTCTGAAAGGTTATCAACCCTTTAAGACCAAGTCAAAAAGCAGATAACATTGAGATTCCATTAATGCTACGTCATTATTCATTGTTGTTGTAGCTGCATTGAGTCTTGAAGGCTTGGCCAAGTTTTTCTCTGTCCCATCTTATATCAAACAAAATCAAGACAGGAGTTTCTTTCTTATACTTCTTCTCCAAGTCCCCCATTAATGTCTCACTCTTTTCTTCGCCCTTTAATGGGTTACTCAAAATACAGCCTTACCAAATACAGCTTTACATTCCTTCACAGATGCTATGAGATATGGGAGTTATTGGTTAAATCTGATAATCTATAGTTTTATTTTGCATGATCATGATTCACTGAATAAATTATAAATGTTGTAAACATTGTTTTGAGATAAAGTATGAATAAATTAGCTCATATGATAGAGACCTGTTTGCTAAGGTAGCTTTAGGTTTTATGCTATAAGTAATTTAAAACTCTGTACTTGCCTTAATTAGAAAACTGGATTAATTCAGATTCTGAATGTAAATCTACACAATATAAAAATCCTAGTTCAAATACAGACCAATTCTAAATTAAATGCAGTTTGGAAAAAAGTTCCATTAAAAATAACCTAAAATGTCTATATTGTAAAAAACACAAATGCAGTTAGAAGTTAGGAAAACAATAAAGCACAAAGCATCAGAATCCCAGTTTATATTGATGGTATCAACATTTGGCATATTGACTTACAAAAAAAATGGAGTATGGTGAGATACGTCCAAAGCTTTCCATAATGAAAATTTAAACTGAAGGATTTATTTTCTTCATACAAAATAGCTATCAAATATTAAATTATCAAAATAATTGTTAAATCTGCAGGGACTTGTCCAGAAATTTGGAAGGAGTTTTCAACATACCCAAAGATCTCTATACTGCAAAGGAATTCATGACATTACCATGAATACAGATATAAAATCCAGGCAACATTTTATTCAAAGCTTATTAGAATTACAGCATGCCAGAAGTACAGCTGAATCATACACAGCAGAGAATTCTTGAACTTCCATTTTTAAAAAATCCAACTTTTTACAAATGGTTATCTGGAGTTTTTTTGCCCAAAGATGTATTTTATACATAATTGGAAAGCAGCTTGATTTGCCTATAGCTAGGCAGAATGTGTTTTAAGTAAATACATATTCTCAATATGCATTCAGTGTAAATAAAATATTGAAATGGGGGAAATGTTTGTACATCATCAAACTAGGCCTTACTTTCATAGCTGGGCAATATAATTATAAATTTACTCCTATAATGGCATCAACTGGATTCCATGAAGTGCAAAATTTACATTGATTTTCTAAATGCTTTAATATAACTTTAAATGTAGCCCAAAGGTCAACGTTGAAGTGCTTTGTTTTAAAGATGAAGGTTTCAGAAAAACCCAACAACCCCCAAAATAAAACTATGTCAAATGTATAAACTGCACTAACTTTCTGGTTTTACAGCCATTTGCCAACATTAATATGTAATTCTAGGATATGAAAGTATAGCTGGAACTAGGAGGAAAAAACCATCTAGTACTAGCTTGAATCATTGAAAAAAGTTATTTTGATAAATATCACTGATTTTGTTCTTATGCCAGATGCCTTGTACTCTTTCTAAAATCAAAATTGTTAACCTATAATGCACTTGTATTGTTTACAGTTAGCAAGGCACACATCTGGCATATGATAAATTACTTAGAACTATTTCTAATGTATACCACTAGAACTTTTGTTTTCCTTTAAGTGATCAAAAGCACTAAGTGCTGTACTACATCTTCACTTAGGGAAATAATATAGCCTAAACATCTCACAGTTGTAACTACTGCTGAAAGCTACAATTAGTGAAAACAACCTGGCATTTAAATTTCAGGTAAATAATAAGGTGGCATCACGCAAAAAAATAAAATAAAAAATAAAACACCTCAAACCAAACCCTATCTGCGGGAAAATATTCTGAAGCAACATTTTAGTGTTTGCTAGTGAAATTCTAAAATATACTCAAAAACCAACCTTACCCTGTAAATATTTCCATGAACAAAACACACATGCCATTGTTGCAGGGTTTAAGAGCTCTGACTGAAACCCATATTTGATGTTATTACAATGCCTAGAATTTGCAAGAGTAATCACTCAGTTACAGAAGAGTCCAACAATGTGCAAATATTCCCACATTTATAATGGGAACAGTTAAGTGCTGCTCAACCAAAAGACCTTTAAGGTATCTATCCATAAAAGCAAAGTCAGCCTCCATGTCAGCAGTCACAAAGAAGATTCCAAATGAAAATCTATCCAATTCATCTGTTCTGCCATAAAATTAAGACATTATAGCATCTGTCAGTAATATTAGATAAAATATCTTCAAAACAGCATGGGTACCTCTCACTGATTACATCCAATTAAAAAAAATCTATTAATTTGCTTTGAATGTATGTACCATTATTCCCATACAGGTTCAGAAAGTGCTTCCTGTGAGAACTGAAATAAAGAATGACTGGCATTCCAACTTTAAACACTGTTTTTATGGAAGCAATTTTCACTGGTTGCAGTGACTTACTTCCATGCAACTGTGATTAAAAGCATCCTAACCTTGCAAATCTAGCTTTCTATAAGATGATCATGTTACATACTGCATCATACAATCTCCTATTTACAAAATACTTTAAAAGCTTTACCATATAAAAAGTGCAATTCTTTTACCCCATTTTCTAGGGTAACAACATTCTTCATAAATTCTACATAATAGCAGCCTATGGAAGCCAATAAGGTGCATAGCTTATGCCAGAAGCTAATTGGTTTAAATAACAAAATTCAGTACATTTTGTTAATCCAAACTCCAGTTCTTCTATTACTGTCGCAGTGGGGCTCCAGCCAAGTTGGCAAGCTCAATGAGTGCCAGTGCCCCATGTAAGCGTTCACGCTGTTCTTGAAGTCGGCTACAAAGGGACGAATGAGCAGTACTTTTTTCCTCCTCTTCCTCATCTTCAGACTGAAGATATTCCATGGGATCTTGCTGTTCCTGGTCAGGCTTATGAATAGATTTATTTTTCAACACAGGAGTGCGTTGTTCTCTCATTTCCCAATACCTGTTAATAAAGATAAAATTGAGCATTAGAAAACCAATAGTGAAATAATATTGCCAACTAGTTCCCAAATTAAGACAAAAATTGTTTCAGTGTAAGCAACTCCCCTCTCCCATCTGACCTTTGAGGTAATAAAGAATAGGAAGCTTTTATTAGCATCCTGGCCATGGTTGCACAGAATACAGAACTGTTGGTTAACAAGTGTCTGTTCAATTTCTCTCAATTCTTAATGTTGCTTTTTATATAAATACGTACTTTGTCAGCCATTCAGCAACAGCTTTGTTGTCTGCAGTTTGCTTTTTGTTCAGTCCATCTGTAGGTTCTTCTCGTCTCAATTTTGCATATGGATGCTTGGGACAATGGCGGTTTGCATGTGTGAATCTGCTTATACATCCTTAATTGAAGAAAGTATCAGTCAGAAATACAGTTAGACTCCCCCCAAACAAAAACACATAAGGAATTTTTCTGTCCTCAGTTAATTTGATTTCTGAAGGAACACAGGAGTGAGATTATCTATGAAATCTGCCCCTTCCCCATTACGTAGTACGTTTTTTAAACTATATTGCTTAGAGGCTATCATGTTTTTCCAAGCTATTCATGGCTAAACATAGGATATCTGGTTCTAGTAAAATAAGATGAAAACTAGGAAATTTTGGCTTATTTTCAAGACATTTATTCACTGCAGTTTGAATGAAAGCAATTTTTTCATGACTCACCATTTTCTGCACAGACAAAAGGCTTCTCTCCTGTATGGAGACGCTGATGTGTTTTAAGTTGCCCACTCTGAACAAAAGCTTTCCCACAGTCTGGGTAATCACACAAATAAGGTCTTTCACCTAAGTGGGGGGAAAATCCCTCTCTTGAGTTTCTTTCAGGAATTTCTTACATAAAATAAACGAAGTCCTCATTTTGCTAAAATTTGCCAGAACCTGTCTGAGTTGTTACAGATAGATCTCAACTTACAAACATTTAATGGCAGTTCAAAAGTTATGACAGTGCTGAAAAAAAGTCACCTATGACCTGTTCTTGAAATTACAATTGATAACACCATCTTTCCAGGCACATGATCATGATCTACAATCTCCCTTGCTTCTGACAAGCAGTCAATTGGAAAATCCATATTTGCTGAATTGTGTGCGATTCACTTAATGGGACTTTCTTAACATGATAAAAATGGTTATAAAATTGAGTCCAGTCATGTGATGACTTGCTTACTGACCACATCACTTAGTGACCAAAATTCTGGTCCCAACTGTGCCAAAGATGCTTTTTTTCAAGAGGCAACTGGACTTGGTTTTACTCTGAAGACTTTTGCTTCTCATACAAGAAGCTTCTTCAGCTATAACTGGATGGTGGGGAATAGAAGGATTTATATTCCTTGCAGACAGCTGGTCATTTGCATTCTTTTAGAGTTGATGAGGCCACTCTGAGATTTATCTGTTTACTTAGGGTCACCTGAGTAGTGCAAATGGTTGTGGAGCCTTCTTGGAATTGCTGAAAGGACTGTGTTGCACAGGTCTGTCAAATTGGTAGCCCACTGACTGGATACGTCATACGTAGGCCACACCACCCCAGCTCTGCAAAGGCAAAAAAGTCTCGATATGTCACAATCTGTGATGCAATCGATTTTGACCCCTGTGGTGTTGTAGACTGGGGATAGATGATGTCATATCTCTTCCCCTCTGTTGAGGGATGTTCAATTTTGACATAGACTGTCTCTTTGACCAGCTGTCCTCTCTGTCCAAAATGTGGACTTTGCTGTCTTCAAGAGTGGACTTTGTCTTTAAATGCAGATTGTTCTGATGGGTTTGTTCTCAACTTTCAGTCCCAACTGTGGTTATAAATTGAGGATTATCTGTATTATTTTTTAAACTCTGTTCATTAGTTTGAAAGGATGCTAAAATCTGATAGAGCCGAACTAAAGGATTTTTTTTTGTAAGTATGTTGTTTTTTTCTAGACCATTTAAAAACTTTTTTCTGTAAAACAAACTTCCTATCATAGCCACTTGAA